ACCCGCCTCGGCCTCCCAAAGTGCTGGGATTACAGGCGTGAGCCACCACGCCCGGCCCTAGGTTTTGTTTCTTTGCCCGTGGAGCAAGAGGGCTGCTGGGGCCTCCCTTGTTGGTTCAAGGCAGGAGCATTCTCTACCAACGCCTTACAGGGTCTTGGAAGCACCTCTCTGAAGTCCTCCAGGCAGAGGTTCCACTCCAGCAGGGGAAGGCCGTCCGGCTCCCAGGGGCTTTTGGCACTGTCCACTTCTGGGCTTTCCTCCACCAGGATCTCCTCCATGATGCTTTTCCGCCGAGGACTCTTGGTCCCCACTCTGGCCTTCTGGGACCCAGATTCCCTAAGGGCCTCATTCTCGGGCCGGGACACTTGAGGTTCTGAGATGGGGCTCCTAAGGTGTGGTAAGAGCTCGGTATTTCCGGAGGTTTTCTCTGTGGCTATGGGGTTGAGGTGTTCCTCGTCCCCTGGCCTGGCGTCTTCAGCCTTTGGGGGAAGAGTCATGTACTGCAGCCACAACCCGTGCAGGCTCTGCAGCACTTGGTGGTCGTAATGCAGCTGCAACAGAGGAAGGGAAGGCATGTGGGGGGAGGCTGGGGTGCGGGCAGCAGAGCCCATGGCAGCTGGCCCTGGCTTCTCATTCCCAAGAGCACTGATGGAGGAGACAGGGAGGAAGCCAGCAGGAGGGCTGCGGCCAGAGAGGCTCCCCACTTCCTCTTCAACCCGGGAACCTCCAAGTTGAAGCGTTTTTGCATTTGGGCTTCCAAGGAAGTTTGGGTTTGAATGAAGGAGTTGTGAAGCTCTGTTCTCACCAGGAATCCACTTATGAGCAAAGTTACCCTGCGCAAATTACTTCATCTTTCTGGGCCCCAGTTTCCTCCATGTAAATGAGGATATAAATAGTACCAGGGCCAAGCGCAGTGGCTCAAGCCTGCAATCCCAGTGACTTGGGAGGCCAGGGTGGGAGGATCACTTGAACTCAGGAGTTCAAGACCAGCCTGTGTAAAACAGAGAGATCCTATCTCTACCAAAAAAAAAAAAAAAAAAGAAAAATAGAGAAATAACTTGGGCATGGTGGTGCGTGCTGATAGTCCTAGCTACTCAGGAGGCTGAGGTGGGAGAATCACCTGAGCCGGGGAGTTTGAACTATGAGTGGGACACTGTACATGGGCCTGGAGTGTGACAAGTGACACACTATTTCTAAAAAAAAAATAAAAATAAGTATACCCATCTCATAGGACTGCTGTGAGGAAAAGTGAGTTACTCATGGAAGATGCACAGAACAGATCTTGGCACATTAAAAAGTCTGCTGTTACTGTCGCCTAGGGCAGCGGTCCCCAACCTTTTTGGCACCAGGGACTGGTTTCTTAGAAGACAATTTTTCCACGGATGGCAGGGAGTGGGGGAATGATTTCAGGATAAAACTGTTCCACCTCAGATCATCAGGCATTAGATTCTCATAAGGAGTGTGCAACCCAGAGCCTGCACATGTGCAGTTCACAATAGAATTTGAGCTCCTATGAGAATCTAATGCCACCGCTGATCTAACAGGAGACGGAGCTCAGGCAGTAATGCTGGCTCACCCACTGCTCACCTCCTGCTGTGCGGCCTGGGGGTTGGGGACCCCTGACATAGGGCACACACGAGGGAGCAGGGGCTGGCGCTGGGCCTCACCTCAGGATTCCTGTGCTGGAACAAGTCTTCCTCAGTGAGATAGGCGTCCACAGGTGATGGTGTGCGCTCCGGGGTCAAGATCCCCATCAGCAGCTCCTGCAGCACTCCGTGAACGATGGTGACTGCCTCATGGGCAGTCAGCTTGCTCTGCAAAAGGGAAGGTGGCAGAGGATGGCAGCCCAGGCTCTCAAAACCCATGCATCCTTCAGGAAGTTGGAGCCTTCAGGACTTTGTGCCTTCCTAGAGTCTGAGCTCCTGCCATTATCTCTCTCTCTCTCTCTCTTTCTCTCTCTCTCTCTCTCTCTCTCTCACACACACACACACACACACACACACACACACACAACCCTGTTCTAAGACCCAAAAACCTCTGAGTCTCTCCAGATCCAGAGGCCAGTTCCAGGGAAGGCTGCTGCTGCATAGGGTCTGGGGGTCACACAGTTAGCATGGCACCAGATTAGCAAGATGGGGCGGGGCACACAGTGGGGGAGGTGCTCCTGAGGATAGTGGTGAACCTTCATCAGGCTTCAGTAACTGTCACAGAAACGCAGGGGAGGGGCACCTTGTGTGAGACATGGGTCCTACAGTCAGTGAGTAAAGCAAGCATGACATTGTCAAATTTACCTTTGACCACCACTGGCTGAGCCCCAGCTGAAGGAGCCGGCCTTGTGCTTGGGGCCACAATGAATAAAAAAGCACAGCTTTCTGCCAAATCCCAGGACGCATGGCTGAAATGGCCACACTGAAAAAAACTCTTGGCTCACACCTCACACTCCCTCCAGAGTTGTCAGCTGATTGAGTAGGACGGTGGGCAGACTCACCCTGCTGTTTATTAATACGTTATTCTCCCTGGGTTTGAAGTCTTGTCAGTTAAATGCAACTCCACTGCGTAGTATTAGACAGCAGGGAACAAAACAGATCAGTGCACAGGGCCATGCATTGTTTGTACTTTACACAATCTGCCTCTTAAGGCTCAGTCTCATTTCTTTCTAACTCAGCAAGGCCATGCATAGCGTTGCTGCAAGCTGCTCCTCGCCTGCCTAGCCAGTGCACCCATCTTCTACATCACAAGCTGAGAAATGTTTCTGGAGAAAAAGCAGTTACCTGTTTGTGAAAATTTCAATTTGCCTCTTAGGCTGGGAGAGATACGATCCCCGCAGGCACTGCCAGGAAGAATGCCAGGATACCCTACCTGATGTCCACAGGGGCCACGGTCCTGGGTCCCTTACCTCCAGTACCTTCCTTTCATCCTCAAAAACGTCCTGGGTCAGGGAGACCGCATGGAGATTGACCTGCAGCATAGCACCTCCTAATAGAGTAGGATGGGTTCCAAACTCCCAAAATTCCCTGAAGATCCCAGCAGTCAAAGACTTGAAGAAGAAGGTAAAGCTTTTAGTTTTTCCAGGCAGAATCACACCTGAGAGGGACAGAGACCGAGGTTTATATGCAGGAGCTGGCTGAGCCCCAGGCCTGAGTGCTCCTACACAGTTAACTGAGCCCCAGGCCAGGTGGCCAACCATCCCAGTTTACCCAGGACTAAGAGGTTTCCTGGAATGTGAGATTCTGAGTGCTGAAGTCCCAGGCAAACAGAGACAGCTGGCCATCCTAGCCCCAGGCCTGTGCATCTGGATAACTGGGCCCCTAGAAGGTTTCTGCTCCCTAGTGGCTCACTCCCCGGGTTCTCAAGTTCCCTCAGTCTCTCAACAGACATGAATCGTCAGGCCACATATTTCAAGGAAGGAATGAGAGGGAGAAGGCAGGGGAGAGGGGCTCCAGCTTGCAGGAGCTGGGCCATGGCTTACACTTTGATGGCTCACTGAGGACAAAACCAGCCCCAGACAGGAGCCAGTGCGTAGGGTGGCTTCTCCCAAGTACCTTCCCGGTTGTTAAAGTAAAACCGCTGCATCCTGTTTTTCTTCAGGTCTTGGAAACTGTCCTGCTGGTGCCGCCGTTGCCAGTGATACCAAATGGCCACAGTGCCATTATTGACCACGGTCAGTTCTGAGGAGGTTTTCTCCCCTTCTAGGGTTTCAAAGGTCAAGTGAACAGCAATCCCGATCTGCCTCTGGAAGGAGGAGGGACAAGAAATGTCTTTGCTGGAGACCCTGGTCTAGAGGAAACAAATCGTCTGGGCTGCCCAGGACTTTTCTGGGTTTAGCACTGCAAGTCTCATGTCCCAGGCCTCCAGGGCTTGGCCACTGTCACACAGAGTGGTATCCTACTCCAATGTGGCTGTCTCTGAGGTCACCCTCAATAGTAAGAAGAGAAAATAAAACTTTTTTTTTTTTTTTTTTTTAAGACAAGGGTCTCACTCTGTCACCAAAGCTGGAGTGCAGTGGCACGATCTCAGCTTTGTCTCCCGGGTTCAAGTGATTCTCCTGCCTCAGCCTCCTGAGTAGCTGGGACTATAGGTGCCAGCCACCATGCCCTGCTAATTTTTTGTATTTTTAGTAGGGAGGGGTTTCACCATGTTGGCCACGCTGGTCTCGAACTCCTGATGTCAGGTGATCCACCTACCTCAGCCTCCCAAAGTGCTGGGATTACAGGCATGAGCCATCCTGCCCAGCCAGATAAAACACATTTTATATCCAATGAACATTTTTTTTTTTTTTTTTTTTTTTTGAGACGGAGTTTCACTCATGTTACCCAGGCTGGAGTGCAGTGGCGCGATCTCGGCTCACTGCAACCTCCGCCTCCTGGGTTCAGGCAATTCTCCTGCCTCAGCCTCCTGAGTAGCTGGGATTATAGGCACGCACCACCATGCCCAGCTAATGTTTTGTATTTTTAGTAGAGACGGGGTTTCACCATGTTGACCAGGATGGTCTCGATCTCTTGACCTTGTGATCCACCCGCCTCGGCCTCCCAAAGTGCTGGGATTACAGGCTTGAGCCACCACGCCCGGCCCTCCAATGAACATTTCTATTCCTTAGCATCTGAGAAATATTTTAGAACTTTCTTAGAGCCATACCTACTTGAGAGAATCTGCTTGTTTACATGCTTGGGGGCAGGGTATAAGCCAAGTGGCTTATGACACCGCAACCTTGTGATTTTATTCTTGTTCAGGTTGGTGTAGCTGTCACCATTTTCAGACATGCTGAATGCACGACCAGAGAAAAACCCAAACAGAACACTGTGCAGGCTGCTTATAACTGCCACAGTCACCTCGGGGCTGTACCCCCGAGGGAGGCTCTCCCAGCAGGTGCAGATGGAGGCACTTTTACCTTGTCCTGGGGGTTATTGCCTCTGATCCAGCAAGCTGGCTTCCCACAAAACAGCAGAGAAGGGCCGAGAATAGGCATGGGGACATCAGAGGAACTGGCCAATGAGCTTCTGTAATAAAAAAAACCAATGACTTACTTTCCCTCAGGCTGCCATGCTCATGCCATGTGGAACCCCACAGAAATGGTCACCAGGAAGTCTAGAAACATAATCAGCTCCGCCCTGCAATGGAGTGTGATCAACTCCCCTCCTGCTCAGCTTCCTCCTGACCCATTCCTCTAGGTGGGAGTTTCCTGGAAACACACAGACTCTTTAAGCTGTCTTGCCAGAGCCATTCACAGTGCACAGAAATACATAGACTCTTCATGCCAGAGGCATTCAAGATGCACAGCAGTGGGAGGGTCTGAGGACCAGCAAGGGAATGTCTGGGAAACCCCCATTAGGAGTTGGTTGTTGGAAAGGAGCAGATGGCAGTAGGAAGGCCAGCACAGCTGCTGGAATGGGTTCGAGGAGTGGGTGGCAACCACTGGAGAGCAGCTGGGCTGGAGGGACCCTGATCTCAGGGAGGGAAGCCTGCTCTTTAGTGCTGGTAGGTGCTGGAGAACTCTTCAGCCTCTCTCCCTAGGGTTCGGGCTGCACTCACAAGTATGTTGTATCTTCTTCAGAGGAGCTTTCCTGGCTCCTTTCAAACACTGTGTAGTCTTCCACGGTGACAGCCGAGAAGGGCTGCCCTTTGCCCACCACCTCCAAGCCATCAATATCCTCCGAGAGACCGAGAAAGGAAAGATGAGCTGACTGAAGACAGGCATTGCCCCAAGGGGCTTCAGACTGGGGCACGAAGGCCATACCAACCTGCTGGGTGAAATCCAGCTCTGCCATGATTCTCTGCAGCTCCTTGCGTCGGTAGATCAGAAACAGACTCCGATCCCAGGTGTAGCGGTACGAAGCATCCCTCTGGGCTGGTAATCCTAGCACCAAGTCCAAGGACCCTCAGCACAGACTGCTGCCATGCCCCTTGCTCACCCACTTCTCAAGGGCTACGAGAGTGCCTATCCCAACACCATTTCTAGGAAGGATGAAAAACACAGCTTCCCTGCGGCAGCTTGACTCCAGTCCTCCTGTCCCACACCTTCTCAGCAGCCCTACCCAGGACTCCTGCAAAATTAGCTTCCAAATAGCCAAATCTTTGGATTATAATAAAAATAACAACAGCAGCTACCTTTTACTGAGTGCTTAACAAGAAGCCAGAACCTCTTAATACATTTCACATCTCACTTAGCCATATCACAACCCTATGCATATTTTACAGATGAGGAGACTGCGGGCCAGAGAGGTTCAGCCACTCTGGGGTTCACTAACACGACACAGCTGGGGCCTGAACCCAGGCAGCCTGGTAGGCTCTAAATCAGCGCTGCCCAAGAGAAATATAATGCAAACCACAAACACAAGCCACATGTGTCACTGAAAATTTTCTAGATGCCACACTGAAAAAGGAAAAATTCTAAAGGTGGGATTCATTTTAGTAATATAGTTTATTGATTTATTATTTTTTTTGAGACAGTCTTGCTCTTGTTGCCCAGGCTGTAGTTCAATGGCATGATCTCGGGTCACTGCAACCTCCACCTACCAGGTTCAAGCAATTCTCCTGCCTCAGCCTCCCGGGTAGCTGGAATTATAGGCACGCACCACCACGTCCGGCTAATTTTTGTATTTTTACTAGAGATGGGGGTTTTACCATGTTGGCCCAGGCTGACCTTGAACTTCTGACCTCAAGTGATCTACCCACCTTGGCCTCCCAAAGTGCTGGGATTACAGGCATGAGCCACCATACCTGGCCTCATTTTAATAATATAGTTTATTTAACCCAATATATCAAAAATCTTGTCATTTCAACATGTAATCAATATAAAAATGATTGATAAAATATACTGTTTTCACACTACTCTTCAAAAGCCAGGGTACACTTGACTGACAGCAATTCTCAGTGCGGGGCAGCCACAGTCCAGGCGCTCACCAGCGGCACGCGGCTCAAGACTCCACGCCGGACAGCGTGGTCCTATGGCTGCACTCCAGTTTCCTATCTTTCTCCCCGTTTTACTGAAGAGGGAACCAGACTTCAGGAAGACTCCAGGACTTGCCTAAGGCCACAGAGAACCAGGATTTGGCCGTGGGCCTGTTTCACCATAGAGCCATGCTAGCCGCTGCCAAACTACCCCGCCGCCGGACCAGGCACAAGATGCCAGCTGGCTTACGGCCCTGCGCCTCACCTGTCTCCACCCGGATGGAGTGCGGCTTCCTGATGTGAGTGATGGGCTCCATGAGGCCACGCTGAGTTTTTGTCTTGGTCATGACCAGACCTGTCAACTCATCTCCCAAGTACTCCAGTCGACTCCAGAACCCACTGTTCTCCCAGCTCTGGCAAGGAAGGACAGGGGAATCAGATCACCAGGACACCTTGGCCAGATGCTGGTGGAGACGTGGGAAGACAAGAGTACCACAGGCTACAGATGCTCCCTCTAGGGAGTTCAATGCTGCTATGGTCGCAGAAGAGAAGCACCCAGTGTCATGTTTTCTGGAAGCCCCGTTGTCATCTTTACCTGCCCCCAGCCAGGAGTGTGGGCTGGTACAGACAGCACTGGTATACCAGAACAAAGGTGGGGGCCTCTTCAGCCTCTTTCCTTAGCGTGTGGGCTCCACTCAGTCTAAGCTTCTAGGAGACAAACACTAAGACTACTCTAATAACTCGATACCTGTGTGGCTAAATGACTTTACTAACAATGTAATTTAGTAAAAGCCTTGAGGGCTTAATGATGCTTTGCAATGGATAGGATTTTTTTCTCCCCAGCTGTGCCACCTGAGACCAGCATCCCTGTGTCCAGACCCCTACCCTGGACCCCCTCCTCTGTGCACCCCCCCTGCCCCCAGCACTTAGGACAGGTGTCCTCACTTTCCTATCACGCCGGGTTGGAAGTGTACAGTCAATGAGCTCCCGCTCCTCCTGGATCCGTCTGTAGGTCTCCCCAGTGTGCATGAGCAGCTCGCTGACCGGCTTTTTCAGGTGTTCTAGAGAGAGAGGCAAGACTGCAGCCACTCTGCCAAACCAGAGCAAACAGGGGCCTTGACACTCTGCATCGGGCAGCCCCCCTCACGGGGCTGATTTCAGGACCCACTAAAGCTTCAGAGTGAGATGCTCTTGGGAGTGAACAGCACAAATGTGGTCAGCCCAGGGCCAGGCTCTAGAGGAGAGAAAAAAACAGCAGAGCCTCGCTGCCAGATGGAGGCTGGGCGGGAGCCCTGTCTGCTCTGCTCACCGCTGAGGGCTTCCTGCTGCTTCTTCCGCAGGGCTATGTTACGCTGCCAGTTTTTCAGAAAGTTGTGCTGAGGAGGTGGGGCCCAGGGAGGTCTCTTCTCTTCCTTTGGGGCTTTTTGCTTTGACTCTTCTTTAGCTGAGATGAGGGTCATCAGACAGGGTGAGGCAGGTATGAGCTCAGCCAGCTGAAAATTACAGCATGGGCATGTGGAGGGTAGTGAGATGGCTCTGGAAGGGGCTGAGCACACATTTCCTGAGACCTAAACCCTTGCTGTCATCCCACTGTGCTGAGAATCCCTCCTCTGCAGGACTCCAGGGTAGCCAGTGACAGAAAAGAAACTCCAGAACCAGGGGGCCCTGAACGCAGCTGTCAGTCCACTCTCCCCCAGAAAGGGAAGCTCTGTTTCAAGATTGCGGTCAACATCTTTTAGTATATTTGTCCTCTTCACTGCTGCCATTGATTGACACCTCCACCCATGTGCAAATGGAAGCATTCTTACATGGCCCTAGGACCCTTAGTGCCTAACCAATCAGTCAGCCTGGAACCAGGAAAGCAAGGGGAAGAGACAGGAGAAGCACGGCATGATGGGAAGGTTGGAAAGACACAAAATCTTCCCGTGGCCCAAGGAGCAGTGGGAAGCCACCCTCCTCCACCATGTGGACTGAGGAGAACAGGCTGATCTCCAGAGAAGGGAAAATCCAGACAGTGCAAAGAGCAGAGGAAAATGAGGCATTTGGGCCCTGAGTCCTGATGCTTTTCTGGGTGCAGTCTACCCAGACCCAGGTATTCTTGCCTTTCGGTTCTATGAGGCAATCTCTGGTCCTTACAGTAAATCTCTGACTTTACTGAAGCCAGCTTAAACTACCTTCTGTGCCCTGCAACTGAAGTGTCTAAGTATTCTGGGAGAGGGTCACTCATCAGCTCAGACTCAAAACCTAGAGACTAGACGGTCTCTTTAACCCCAGTCCTGCTTGACTCTGCCAGGCGGGAGACCGAAATGACTGCAGTGACTTCCCTTGGCCAGGTAGTTAAGTGCAAACAAACCTGGGTGTTCCCTCGAGCAAGTGCAATTCTCCTAAAGTCCTGGAGACTCCCCAGGATGTGGTGGGGCAGGATCTGGTCACTGCCATCGAAGCTGTCACCGGGACCTGGGAGGATACACAAAGAAAGGAGAAAGACAAGCTGTGGGTGGGCAACTTTCTGATGGGAGACTGGCTTTCTCTCGAGGCTGACCCATGAGTTCAACGACAGGGAAGCCAGGGCCGAGACTGGGAGTACCAGAGTAGTCCAGAGGCTTTGTGGCCGCGTCGGGATTCGCAGGGCGTGCTATGAGGTGGCAGACCTTCCGCCTAGGGTCCGTGGGTTTGAGTTTACGGATGATACATTTCTGGGTAATGACGGGTTTACCTTCCTTTTCAGTAAGGCGAGGAATGTGTTGCTGAAAAGAAATGAAACAAAGGAGAATTCCACCTGTAGTGGGAGGAGGAAGAGCACCACCCATCTCCTCCGTTCTAGTTCTGGGTGGAATTCCTGAAGGCTGACAGATCTGTTTCTTCAGCTCTGTCCATATGTTCTGTCGAGGAAATGCCTGTGTAACAGACATGTGACTTAGTAATATCCTGGAGGGAAAAAAATTACATCTATGCCTCCTGACAGTTCAGGTGAGAGGTGGCTTTACTCTCCCAGGTAAAGCATGGGGTTGAGGTTTAGCAGCTTTACCCACAGCTGTACCTTTGCTGTTTAAACTCATCCTCCCTTCTGTGAAATGGGAATGATGGCACCTACCTCTATGGGAAGCAAGATACCTCATCATCTCATATCCCCTCGTGGTTCTACACAAATCTCAGCAATGTTAAAGCAGACAACACAGTGAATTTCCTTAGGTGGTAAAGTGAAGCGAATCTGCGTTCAGTGGATTTTTCCACGGGGTTAGCCACTCCCCATGAGTAGGGAGACGGTGGGAGGACAGTGGACACGGCTGGCGTTCTAGACCAGTGAGGCTGCTGGCAGGGAAGTTTCCACAGTAAGGGCAGCCTGGGCTTCATCCTCACCTCCTTCAAGTCTTCCCTCTTAATGGCCAAGGCAAGAATGTCATCTCCTTGGAGTACATTGCTAACAGGTTCAGGCTCTTCCTGAATTGGGGGTGTGGGTTGTTCAGGTCCCTTTGCCCGCTTCTTTTCTGAAGAGAAGCACAAAGTGATTAAGTCCCTAAAGAGCTCCTTCTGTACCTATCAATATATAAATACAAAAATAAAAATGTAAGTATATACTAGACTCCATGGTGGGGGGCAGAGCTGACCAGCTGGATAGACAGCAGAGGCTGCCAAGGTGGCCTGGGCAGCACTTTTTGCTGGGGCAATGGGAGTTCTCTCTGGAGGGTCCCCCTACCCACACCCCCTGGCTCACCACAGTGACGAAGTCTTCTGTAGCCAGAATTGAGGTCAGAAGATGTTTCATTTCAGGCCGGGTGTAGTGGCTTACACCTGTAATCCCAGCACTTTGGGAGGCTGAGGCAGGGGGATCACAAGGTCAGGAGTTCGAGACCGGCCTGGCCAACATGGTGAAACCCTGTCCCTACTAAAAGTATAAAAATTACCCTGGTGTGGTGGCCTATGCCTGTAGTCCCAGCTACTCGGGAGGCTGAGGCAGGAGAATCACTTGAGCCCGGGAGGTGGAGGTTGCAGTGAGCCAAGATTGCACCACTGCACTCCAGCCTGGGCAACAGGGTGAGACTCTGTCTCAGAAACAAAACAAAACAAAACAAAACAAAACAAAACAAAAAGATGTTTAATTTTGGGTGCAGTGGTGCATGCTTATAATCCCAACACTTTGAGAAGCCAAGGCAGGAGGATTGCTTGGGCCTAGGAGTTCAAGACTAGCCTGGGCAACATAGTTGAGACTCCATCTGCACAAACAATATATTTTTTTAATATACAAAAAAGATGTTCCATTCAGGCTATGCTATTTCTAAGCTGGACAGTCTTGGGCACACATCACTTAACCTCTCTAGGCCTCAGTCTTCCCATGTGTAGAAAGAGTCAGTTGGACTAAGTCAGTGGTTCCCAAATATTAGTCCAATGTCGGCCTCAGCATCTTTGGGGGAGTTTTATGGATACAGCTTCCTGGCTGCTGCATGGAGCCAGGGCCTAGGGAGCTGTAATTTTTTAAACTCCCTAGGTGTTTCTGATGCACAGTGGTTTGGGATAACTGAACTGGATGTTTTGCCAGCCTCCTCCAGTGCCGGCACTGACCCAGGTTTCTGGGTGAAGGCATCAGGTTTCATAAGACACTGTTTAAAATGCAGAATCTCTGTGGGGGAAGCAGAACATTTACCACTGACCATTTACTGCATACTATTTCATTTAATAAAGATTGTTAAAGCAGCTTCTACGTGCCAGGCACTGTGCTAGGTTCTGGGGATGTATGTCAGAGCTTGTTTTTAAAGAGCACATGCCCAGTGGGAAACAAGACTGTGAAACAGACTGAACCAGGAACATGGTGGGGAGAAACACCCAGCCCAGAGTTGGTGCAGGGCCGGGGATGGTCAGGGAGGGCTTCCTAAGAAGGGGATGTTTAAACAGAGCTGAAGAAAGAAGTTGGAGAAAGGAAAGCGGTCTGGGGAACAGGCTTTCCAAAGAAAATAACATTAAGAGGCACAGAGGCAAGAGAAAGGGGCACATCCCTGGAACTCAAAGCATGTGTTTTTAAATAGCTGGAGTGTGGTGAGGTGGGAGGGAAGAGGCAGAGCCCAGAGAGAGAAGCAGGAGCCATATCGTGAAGAGCTCAGTGAGCTGTGTGAAGGCTTACCCCATGGGCAATGGCATGCCAAGGAATGGATTAAGAGTTGCAAGATCTTGGGAGGCCAAGGGAGGCTGATTGCTTGAGCCCAGGAGTTCACTAGTCCGGGCTCTATAAAAAATACAAAAATTAACCAGGCATGGCAGTACATGCCTACAGTCCCAACCACTTGGGAGGCCGAGGTGGAAGGATCGCCTGAGCCCAGGAGGTCAAGGCTGCAGTGAGTCATGATTGTGCCACTGCACTTCAGCCTGGGTTAAAAAAAAAAAACCCTGTCTTAAAAAAAAAAAAAAAAAAAATGCTTGCAAGACAAAAGATGAGCATATAAAGGTATTTAGGAGTCTGTTGTGGCAGCCAGAGCATGACATTGACAACACACGGGGCAGAAGGAGGGGGTCATGGGTCACTCTCCAATGAGGACACACTCCCTGCCTTCCTTCCACAGAGGTGGCTTAACAGTTTCAAACACATCTCATTTCTCTGGCTGGTCAACCCTGTCTTTTTCCCTCTGGTTCAGAATGGTTTGATGTAAGGCCCTACACAAAACAATCAAAAGAAAACCTAAGTCCTGCCTTTAGGGAGTTTAAAACAAAATTTGGTTTTATCCACTGCTTCTCACAGCACCCTAATCTTTGAGAGGCAGCATCACTAAAACATCAAGGCAGGTGTTCTGGTTAACAAAATCAAACTTTTTTCCTAAGGAAATTTCCATAGAGTTGGTGGCCAAAAAAACCCCACACCAAAATCGTTCCAAACATAGTTCTAAATTCAGCCTATTGTTGGGTGCAGTGGCTCATGCTTGTAATCCCAACAGTTTGGGAGGCCGAGATGGGAGGACTGCTTGAGGCCAGGAGTTCAAAACCAGCCTGGGTAACATAGGAGATGCCATCCTTAAAAAAATTCTTTTTTCTATTAGAAAAAGTAATAAATTTGGCCTATCATCCACAGTCTGTTTCTGCAATGGGGTCAGCAGAGGTTCGGGAGTATCTGTCTGTTAAATGCATGGCTTTGTGCACACAAGCACACATGCAGGGCTGACAGCTGAACCCCGAGTTCCAGTCTCATCTCCCACCATGTGTGCAGATGCAGCCTTGGGATTTCAATTTCTACCTCCCCTCTCCCTTCTACACAAACTGACCAAAGTGGGTGGCAGCCTATGAGAAATGAGATCAGTTGAAGGTCTGCTTTTGTAAATATTTTGGTATTATCTGCATTTTCCAGGACATTTGCTTCCTCTATCCATAACCTTGGCTGGGTTGATATCTTCCCAAGTGATTGAACATCTCCAGATGTGTGTGTTTTACTGGTGGGTACATAATTACCACATGTCAATACAAACTTTCAACACTGCTGAAGATTTCCGGGGGCCAGAGCTCCCATCCCTTCAGTGATAGAGAAGCTCATCTTCCATGTTTGGTTTAGATTGAAATAGTAAAACTCTGATCTGAGGTTATTCTGAGAAAGTTATCTTTAATGAGGTTCAACAAATGCTGTGTTACTGCCTACATTCAGGGAGTAGTATGCTGTAGTTAATAAAATATTCATTAAAATGATATATATATCTTTGTTTTTCTTGAGACGGAGTCTTACTCTGTCCCACAGACTGGAGTGCAATGGCACGATTTCGGCCCACTGTAACCTCCACCCCTGGGTTCAAGCAATTCTGCCTCAACCTCCCAAGTAGCTGGGAATACAGGTGGCATGTGCCACCATGCCCAGCTACTTTTTTTTTTTTTTTTTTGAGAGGGCATTTCACTCTTGTTGCCCAGGCTAGAGTGCAATGGCATAATCTTGGCTCACTGCAATCTCCGCCTCCTGGGTTCAAGCGATTCTCCTGCTTCATCCTCCCAAGTAGCTGCGATTACAGGCATATGCCACCATACTCAGCTAATTTTTTGTATTTTTAGTAGAGGCTGGGTTCACCATGTTGGCCAGGCTGGTCTTGAACTCCTGAACTCAGGTGATCCACCCACCTAGGCCTCCCAAAGTGCTGGGATTACAGACATGAGCCACCACACCAGCCACCCAGCTATTTTTTGCATGTTTAGTAGAGACGGGGTTTCACCATGTTGGCCAGGCTGGTCTTAAACTCCTGACCTCAGGTGATCCACACGTCCCGGTCTCCCAAAGTGGGATTACAGGTGTGAGCCACTGTGCCAGCAATATATACATCTTAAAGTTAAATTGCTCCTAGAGAGTGTTTACCAAGCACCTTCTATGTGTTATAAACTACAAAGATGGTATAAAGGGTTAAGATACAGCTTCTTCTCTTGAGGGACAGAAAAATATAACAGATGTGAACACACACCAGTCAGAACTAGGAGTTCCTACATTCTTGAT